CGCCCCCAGCCATTGCAGTGCTTACGTAACTATCTCTGAGCCTGCTCGAATAGATGACATGGATATATTTAGTCATTATGTTTCCCCCTTCCGTACCCAGCATGCTCAAGCAGTGCTAAAAGATTTATGTATTCAGACCCCTCAGGCAGTGCAGTGACACACTTACTTTACATCCAGAGCAATTAATGTCCACTGAATCTAGATTACAATTCCGGTGTCCCACAGGGAAGATGCAAAGCCCAAGAGGGTGTAAGGGGTAAAGAGAAGCGTTTGCACAGCACCTCATTGAGTTGCCATCATGGGCACTTTGCAGCTCAGCGAGCAGCTACAACTGTCTGTTGTTTTTTTTTCCCCCTTTGCTTGCATGGCCAGTAATAGCATATTGATTGTTTACGTAGCACTAGCAGCTACACGCAGCAAAGTGACAGTCATCCCCTCCCTACTGCCCACTTCTTTCTTACTCTTAGCATTCCTTTTTTCTCCTCTTTCTCTGACCACCAAACACTGTTGTTTCTCTCCTGGTCTGTCTTCATCTACCTCTTTGTTTTTCTTCCTCTCCTGGTTCTTGTTCTTTATTTATTTGTTTAAAGGGCTGGATGATGGCCAGGCCAGAGACTCATGGGGCTCTGCAGCACAGAAGGCACTGTGCCACACTATGCCAAGGTCGTGCTGGGCACCATATTGCAGTTTATGAGGGAGGTGGTCTGCACTAAGCATTAATATCACCCCTTGTTAGGTTTACCCTTAATGGAAACAGCAGTAGATGCTGATCAAGCAGTTACCCAGCAAGTTATTAATCTTCCTACCCATTACGTGTGAGGTTAATTTTCTTTGGTTATATGTTGAATAGATTTTACTAACACACTGCAGAAGACAAGGTCTAAACATGTTCTTTGTTGTGAATGTGCATTCATGTGTTATCACATTTAGACAAAGAGCTGTCAAGCATGTGCCATTAGCGACTGTTGTGATGATCACATGCTCCTGGCACGATGTCTGACGGCAGGTCTGACATTCTGAACTTCATAATTGAGGAGCTCCTTGTAAACAAAACAAAACACAAAAAAAAACCACAAGACATGCTGAGCTTTCACACATGTAGGCTTCTGAAAAAGTCTATAACCCAAAACTATAGATATAAGGTCTAGCATTCCTTGAAGGACTATATATGACCCATCACTGCTGATGCCAGAGTTCAAGACTAAGTGACAAGGATTGTGTTTTTGGATTTGAGCAAGATTCTGAACAGAAACAGTTTAAAAGTTTTATATAGAAACAGCTGCTGGTGGATGTCTGAATCCTAGAATGAGCTCAACCCGCAGAGATATGAAGGGTTAGTGGACTGATGGTTTCTGTGATGAAGGTAAACAGAGAAGCAGCCACTAACCTTCTTATGCAGGTGAGAGGAGCGCCACCTGAAGGAGCAGGGCGGGATGATGTCACTGTCACAGACAGGACTGCAGCAGACGAGCAGGTTTGAGAGAGACGTGATCCAAAGTGATATCCAGAGGCGAGAGTCAGGCGTGGAGTAGAGGGTCGTTAACAGGGTATCAAACATAGGTCCAATAACAAATCCAAGAGGGAGATCCACGAGGCGTAGTCGTAGGTCCAGAAAGGCAGGTTGGTACCACGATCAGAAGGGCAATATATTAACAGGCAAGGAGCAGGCAGGTCGATAATCCAAAAGACAGGTGTGGGGTCAAGACAAGATGATCTGATCAGAGAGAGATGTGACTTGAACGGTTGACATCTACTTCCACAATGGGCTCGATAATCGGGCAGAGAGTAAGGGTGGCAAGAGCTCTTAAGTAGAGCGAGGCACAGGTGCATGGCATGAGCTTGATTAGGCAGAGGTGCAGAGTAGGCATAGCTGGAAGGCAAGGATTGATATCAGAGCATGACACTAAGATCATCTCATGAGAACAAATGATGGAGTTGTAGACGTGTTGGTCAAACCTTGAAAAAGACTATCTGCAATCTCATTGAGGTATTGTGAAATATCACGTGTTGTGAAGCTACATCCATAGCAAGTTTTAGCTCAGTATCTGTGAAGCTGACTGAGCTATGGACATTTTTGTTTTGTTTTGTTTTAAGGGCAATTGGCTGGAGTATCCATCTTGAACATGTATCTGCATGAGTGCAGCTACAGTGTGCGCTCTCAGGAAATTATTACCTGCAGTGTTCCCTCAGTGCGGACTGAACTTGGCAAAAGGGTCTTCTCCTACTCCGCTCCTATTTCCTGGAATATCTTGCAAAAAGATCTGAAGCTCTTGGCCTTGACCTCTCTAAGTGGCTTTAAGCATCTGTTGGACTCCTGGCAAGGACCAATGCAGACATGTTCCTGTTTTTAGTTTTCTACATTCGCCTTATAATCTAGCTGTTTTTGCTACTTTTTTGTCATCTTATTTTAATTTGTAAAAAAAAAAAAAAAAAAAAAAATCAGTATGCCTCTTTTATAATTGTCTATTGTCTATTGGGGTGGCTGTGGCTGAGTGGTTAGAGCAGTCGTCCTCCAATGCAAGAGTTGGGGGTTCGAACCCACAAGCAGTCACATGTCGAAGTGTCCATGGGCAAGACACTGAACCCCTCATCGCCTCCGATGTGTGTCCCATTGGTGTATGAATGTGATAAAGCTCTTATTAGTCTCATTAGAATGATTTGTTCAATTAGCTTTGTAGAGATCTAGTAGAGTTCTGTATGAATGGGTAAATGAGGACACAGATTGTAGTGTAAAGCGCTTTGAGTGTCTTGATTAGATAGAAAGGCACTATATAAGTATAGTCCATTTACCATTTACAGTCATTTGTCGCTGTTGTCCACTGTTGTCTTCATTCTTTGTTGAAATAAGGTCTCTCTTGTAAATGAGTCCTCGAGGCTCAATGGGATTAACCTGTCTAAATAAAGGTTGAATGGATGAATGAATTGAGTTGGTGTCAATCAGTTGTAGATGTGCATGTAATGACTAATTTCTACAAGTTTTATAAAATATTGTCCAGTGATTCATGAGATGTTTTTGATGACACACACACACAAAGACGCCACTTCATGTTTTGGCAGAGGACAATAAAATGCATACATTTTTACGAGTTTGTTTTGATGATCTCTATAGGTAACCCCAGTGGCTGGACCCCCAGAGGGAGGCACACGGGTGACCATCTACGGCACCAACCTTGGTCTGTCTTTCTCTGACATGGTGGACAATGTTGAGGTGGCGGGTGTCAGATGCACCCCTGTGGAGGATGGCTACATCATCGCTGAACAGTAAGTCCCACAAACAGGATTAGCGTGAGGGACATTTACTTTGAAACAGTTCATGTTGGATGAAGGGTAAACCAGTTCCTGCTGGATTGTTAAAAGTGTCTAACATATTTATTTCATCAAGTTAACTGTCAGCAGCTGGGACACTGAACACCATTAAGCTAGCATGATGTCCAGATCTGTAAACAACACATTTTGTACCCAGTTCTTCTGGTGGGAAAACCTCAAAAACTGTAGAATATTAAAACAATTAAAATCATGCTAACCACCACCACAAGTAGAATGGGCGACATGTGGGATTCCCTTGAGTCTAGTGTGGGAAATGTGTTCAAAAAATGTTCTCACAATATCAAAATCATACACAAGAAATCTCTGCTGAAGTATTGAGCTCAGCTGACTTCCATTTGAAATATTTTAGTATTATTTAATACAGAAGTAAAAACATCCGAATAATTTATTCGATCAGATGTTTACACTCATTATAAAGTGCATCCAACCTGCTGGCTTATACATGATTTATTAGCTAAAACAGCTAACAAACTATAATTGATTTATGTGCACGGAGACTGAGAGCTGCTCCCCCCACAATTTTTTAGCTTTAATGAAGACTGGAGCAGGTCCAAACAGTCTGGTCCTTAGATTCTGCCTCTGCGTCATGCTAGCCATGTTTCTCTAACTGTTCCTAATATCCAGTCAGCAACAATCCCACAACAGCTGTGTGTGTTTACTTGTGTTTGCCTCCCTAATTGTCTCATGCTGAGCATACATCACGTTAAATCCTGTCCCGTTCACCCTGAACTAATGAAACATGGCCCATGCTTCACAACCAGCCTGCCTCCCTCCTGGCTAGACGTGCAGATGTGTGTTGACTTAGAGAGCCAGCTCCTCATGGTTGTTTAATGGCCTCAGGTGATGTGGGCCTCACATGGGATGCTAAAGGATGTACACAAACTACTTATGCCTTTGATATTATACAAATTATATTATACAAATTATATATAGTAACATATTTACATTAGGAATCAGTTGGATTGCTTTAGGTATACAGATGTTTTGTAAATATTAAGATGCTACACGTCCAAGTTGCAGCTAAGTGCAGGGTGGAAAGGCAGGAAAAGAGCTTTCTATATGTTATTTTAAAATGTTTAGACTTTTTTAAAGACAAACAAATGTTCAGCTGTGAGTTTACTGTGTGCAGTTTGTAAATAGGTTTATTCATCTTATAACCTGGAATTTGAAGGGGTATTTTTATTTCAAGGTTAAATGTTCTTTATTTGTCATACGCACCACATGTGGTACATGTGGTGGAATGTAATTGTGTTCACAGGGTCCCAGTTACATCCAACAAATGTATAAAATGTCAAAGAAAAACATTAATAAGATCTAAGATATGAACTAAGAAAAACGTCAACTAAAAATACACTAAGCACTAGTAGTACAAAAACAATACGCCAAACAGCAGCTTGAACATGAGTCTGTGTGAGCAGATGAGCACAAATGAACACAGCAACATGAAACAGATCAGCAGCAACATGAAACAGATCAGCAGCAAAATGAAACAGATCAGCAGCAACATGATGTGATTTTTCACAGTGATTATTCTGGTTAGAGATTCATGAGTCTAACAGCCTCAGGGTAGAAGCTGTTCCTCAGTCTAGTGGTTCTACACTTAATGCTCCTCAACCTCCTTCCTGAGGGGAG